TAGAGTCGAGCGTTCATTAAAAAATAATGAAATTTATTAAAAATTTGTACTAACAGTAATAATAGGTTTGAAATTTAACCTTGTTGTCCTACTATACTGTTGAACTGTTCTATTGAATTTCATTAAGAAAAACGTATTATACAAACGCCTATTCATTAGAAAAATACAAACGCCTATTCAAAATTATGAACAGGCAGTGTGCTTTAAAAGTTGAAACACATAACGCCATCTATGGCTCATGTTGTAAACTATCCCTTCGTATTCCATTCCGTTTAATCAATATTCAATGAAGAACACTCACTCTTCATGCCTCTCACGGTGTAAACTGGTAGTATAACCCACTCACAATACAAACTTTCGAAGTCTCTCCGAACACCGTTACACAATGTCAACATAATATTGTAAATACATAGTCAATGAAATCCAGTTTGGTTACTCCTACTTACCATTCGTTTTAAATGCTTACAATAACTGTAGTTATTTATTTAATGTCAATACATTGGTAGTTGGCTTTGTTTGAAAATATCCTTTATCTAACATTTCTTTAGAACATTTAATAGTTATACAACTGTCTTACTGATGTGGCACACCTACTTAACAGTAATTAAGTTACTTTATTTAGTTAACTCAAAAATCATTGTTCTTAATTTCTTTAATAACAACTGGCATATTAGATACTTTTCTAGTAATCCAATTGTTATTATAGAAATAATTTTATATTCATGATGAATCATTCACGTGCGTGTATGTAATCATAAACGCATGAGCAAAGGGATTATAATCAATAAAACGGCAGAATAGGGACCCTCTGACTAATTCAATTCATAGGGGGTACCAACAAACCTTAAGATTATTAATTATTAATAGCTACGTGCCCATTACCAGTATCAATCTAGTAATAAAATGATATCCCATATTGAATATATATCATTCGACATCTATTCAAGATTGTAACAAGACCAATTTTATATATTCCGGTTAAATTATATTTATAATAAGGATTCTAACGTCATATCTATAACATCATAAATAGAAATACAATGATATTAATACTTTGATCTTTAATTCAATCTTACAAGAGTTCGCCCACTCACTCGATGCAACTAGGCAGAGAGACTCGCTAATCCTTTGTATAAATCAGTCTCCTAAATAAACAGTGGACGTTTCCACTGTTTTTCTTAACTGTGATACAACGTTTCTAGCTAGGTTTTACAGACCCGAACAAATATTAAGAGAATGTACCCTGTCCAGGCTTCCGTTTGTATACTGACAAGTGGTGTCATATTACCATTCGGTAGGGCTCGGTTTTGTGTAACTACTCGGGTGGTAATTGCATTCGTTTCACGGTTTCAGGGCAGGACAAGAGGCCGTTAACGAGAGCGACTGTTGTTTGTTTTCCCACGCCTCTTGTGTCTTCGCGAACGAGCCAAAGATCGGTTTGGGCGATGCGGCCGGCGCGACGTCCGACTCGACGGTAATTACCAAAACAAACGAACTAGCTGTAATGTCTGGACGTGATTTCGATTATGCCCTCTATTTGGTTGAACAGAGTTAAGAACCTTTTTGTTATGGGTCAGTGTGTCATTATTGACCCTAGCTACAGTAATTGCGATGTTATTGATTTGAAGTCAAAAGACAATTTCATTTGACAGTTATTACATTAGACAGTGACAGTTTGTCCGTCAGGTACATTGTTTAAAAATAATAAACAAGTATTTTTAATTTTTTTCGTTATCATTAAATTTCGGCGATACATTGATTTAAAATGTCGAATGACGTCACGCTTTGGTACCTATATCTTCAACGAAACTGTGTAGCGAGCCCTCACTCCTTAACTTTATTGCCTGTTATCTAAACTATTTCTTGTCAAATTGAAGTAAATACGTATGTAATGTTTTTCTATTATATGGCTGACGGACTATAGAATTTCTTTTTTTACCCAGTCGTCACCCCTATTCTTCACTTCTAAAAAAAACTCTATGTATATGTGCTTATTTCAGTATCTTAAAATTATCAAACAAGACACAGTTTTATTATTTACCTAAGTCAAAAGATCTCTCATTAGAACAAGCTTGTGAACTCTACTAAGAAGTTTACTGATGCATAGCAAAGCAACAAATACTAAAATTATACTATTAGTTATCTCGATATGTATTCTTTTTCTTTTTACTCATATCATACTCGTATTTCGTGGAATAGAAAAACAATCAATTTAATAATATAACTTTTTAAGGGGATTCATAAAAGCAATTATCATCACCAGCCCTTTTACGTCCCCACTGCAGCGGCTCAGGCCTTCCTTATGGATGGTTAAGGAGGATGGGCCATGACCCTCCACGCTGGCCCAATGCGGATTGAAGGGTATTAACGACTGCAAATGGAGCCGGGACCAACAGCTTAACGTGCCTTCCGAAGCACGGTGTAGCTCGAGATAATAATTTTTTGGTCACCCATCCTGTGACGGACCCTTGCGAAAGTTGCTTAACGACAACGATCGCGGGCCGCGGCGCTTATCCACTACGCCACCGAGCTAGCAATTAATAAAGCAATTAATTTGTATGGAATTGTAAAGATACAACATTACATGTAAAAAACGAGTTGCGACTTAGGAGCAGGTTGCCGACCCCTGACATAGGACCATAAAACCCAAACCTGCAATCAACTTTTACGACTAAAGGTAGAAACACATTTATGTACCGTGATGTGATGTGTCGCGACAGAAACATACCTATCAGTGAATATTAGAGATTGCGTATACGTTGAATCGTGTCATCAGTTTAACAACATAATATGACATATAAAATGTGTATCCTCACATAAAATGACAAGGAACTAATAGATTCTATGTTTTCTTTATTTTCTAAGTAAACATGGATTTTATAAATGATAGATGAAATACGTTAAATTTATCTTCAAATTGAGTTGAGGTTTTTAATATTATGCCAACAAATTATGTATGGCATACTATTTATTTCGAGTGGGGGGAATGTGTTAACACCGCCCGTGATTTGGATGAAACGTCTCGAGGACTAGTCAAAACGCAGTGGCCTACCTAGTAAACCGTCATTGCGCATGTGTGTCCGGAGTATTATTCTGACTGCCCGTTGTGCAAACGTCTATTAAATTTCTTATTAGTTTAAAGCGACATTACCGATATAATTTTCAAATATAGAACATTCATTAGACCTTAAAGTCGTCATTAAATCTTAACGGACGTATGTGCCCTACAATAAAAAAATCACTTACGACAACAAGCATTGTGAATCGAGTTTTACGTGAATTTTCGCTTCCCATGACGTTAAAGTTATTGAAGTTCAAAAGTTACTAACAAAGCAGATTTAATTAAAAGATCTCCCACCCATATTGTAAATTGAATGCAAGAAAACGTACCTTCCATTATTAGAAGAAAAGAAGAAATTCACAACGTAAACATGACGCAGTATTCAAATAATAAAACTTATTATTCAAGTTTCACGAGAGACATTATGCGAAATTTTGACTTTCTATTATAAAACGTAAGGTATCTCATTTTGCCGCATGAACACGAGATTTATGTTATTGAAGCAAATAACGTTTTTTTTATTGAAATGCTGAAAATACACAAAAGAGAATACTTATACCCTTTAAAGGGCCAACCAATTCACAAAATTGAGAATAAGGTAGTATTATTTCAATGAAATTTAGTTCTAAATTTAATTTTATCATATACAATAAATGCTTCTTTTTGTTTAGTTGACCGTCTTTGGGTCACCAATGTATCAAAGTTCAATCAGCTGGCCCAGTTGTTTCGGAGAAAATCTGCTGCGACAGACGGATTCCATTTTTCTTATTCGTTACGTGTTGATGAGAATGTTTTGTACCTTTGCATAAAAAAAAAAACAATAAAAAAGAACAAAATTGAGTGCGGAGTTGACTGACAATTCAGTCATAATTTTTATTTTTGTATTTTATTTAACCCGCACGCAAATGTTTTTTCCAGTAGCTGTTTTCATTCAAATACACCATTCACCAGCACCTCTATCAACTACAGTACGGAACCCGAATAATTATTTTTTAGTCTCCACAAACATTCATATATAATCTGTTTGATAGTTGAGTTTAGTTATTGTAATCAGGCATACGGATTACTGTTACTTGATCACAGCATTAAGGAAATAACAAGTAGATAAGTACAGTTGTAAAAATTCACTTACCTCTTAGAAATATTTCAGAAGTCGCCAGTCGGCCGCTAACAGCGTCCGTGGCCGACCAACTTTGGGTAAATCCGAAAGTTACTTCGGACTAGTTCATAACACTTTATTGCCGTTGTAATTTAATCTCTGTACCAAGAGTTTAGTTTACACACCTTTTGGAACAATAAATATTATTATTAACTTTTTGAGATTGTTATAATAAAATTAGTGTTTGTTTTTATATAGTGTGTATTTTTATAAATATGAAAAGGAAAATTGTCCGACATTTTATAAGTCGTCTATTGAAGTACCCGTTTTTTGTTAAGATCCGCTTTGCCAATTCCCAAAAAAACCCTCTTTTCATGGAACTTAAAGGATTGTATCATGCAGTCGACTTAAATTTTTTTGCTGCATAAAACTCTCATATTAAATTTGTATATCAGTTATTACTATATTTCTTAAAGTATCTAAATAGTTAAGACAAGTATATTGAACTTTTTTGTAAATAGAAAGTGGTACATTTCATTCTTAAAATTATTTTATACAACATTAAAAATGTAAGTAATTTTAGTTTGCGCAACATTCATATATATTATACCTATATTAACATTGTTTATGTATGGATAAACGAATATGAATGCAAAGTCAAGAATAAAACTATTTACTAAGTATTATTCACACTAAAATCAACAAACAACTTGTCGGTGATTATAAATAAAATTATCATTCAGTTCATTCCGTTCAGTGTGCTAACCAAACTTCAGTAAGTTCGCGCACTCACTAAAAACTAATCACGACTTGGTTACGGTAAGAATAGAGTAGAATGTCATACACGCGGTCGTCAGGGCGGGCGGCCGGCGCGACACTGGTCGAGCGCTCCGCCCGCCCTTGCGCAAAGTTCATGGCGACGGACCGGCTGACTTTTCTGTTAAGTGACATTATTATTATATATTTATCATCTCGGACTTCTGTGAAATATACCTATGGTGTATTGGCGAGTTCCGTCAGTGCCGAGTCATACTTTCAAGAAAATAAGCTTTGCTTTGGTATTATATGCCGCCTACAATTTTGTGAAAGGTAAAAATTATTTGCTATTGCACTTTCTCATATTCAAATACTTGATTATGCCTCTATAATAGAGATGATTTAATAAGTTTAACCACAATTATACGAATTTGTAAATATTACGGCTTGAAAAGCGCGCGAAAATATTCGATATCACATGCCAAAATTTTTATGTCAAATTATTATGAAACATTTTGCACAAAATTTCATTGAGCAGTCTTAATGAGATAAATAACAATAATTTATGATGATGATTATTATAAATGGTTTAATTGCTTATATTATGAAGATATGCATGAAGAACAAAGATGTACAAATACAATGATTGTTTTTCTTCATATATAGTTATTTTGAATATTAATTACACGAATGACTTACGATAGCAATCATTCCGGTTAATCGGGTCTCTACTGTATCTGTTTCCATAATTGCTTTGGCTGCTTAAATTCAGCTTGGCATCGAAATTAAACCGTAGGCAATTGTGAAGTCCAATGATACAGTAGTAAGCATATATGAGATATGGAGATTAATCATTTTTTTTTCTAAATCAGTGGTTCCTAAGCGTTGGTACGCGGTCAAAGGTCCCTGGAAGCACCCCACGTGGTCCGCGGGCCCTCATAAAATGATTACTGTATAAAAATAATTACGAGACGTTAACTTTTAAGTACAACTATTAAAATAATTACTTTTTCTAAAAGTTAAAAAATGAAAATATTTATAAAATTCATTGATGATTGTTTGCTTCCCAAAATTTAACAAAATGTGTTTAAAGTTTGTATTGCGAATTATGAATGAAATCTTCTGTTTCATGAAAAGAATGAATTTCGTAAATCATGAAAAGAATGAATGTCACGTACACACGCGAGTTTCTGTCTAATTAAGTTGAAAGTTTACCAATATTTATGTGTTTTCAGGCACAATTTCAGGTTATAAACTTTTTAGAATTAATTACACATATAAAATATATATTCAATAGTCTGATAAACCTCTTTAAATTTTTATATACCTAAAAATGAAGCATGTATAAATTTACAGACTGAATACCTGGTGTCGTTTTCCTTAGCAAACTTTAATATCTTATCTTACTTATATTATATCCAGCGGGATCATTAATAGGCTTCAATGGGTTACTGACGATAGTTTATTTTTGTAGAAGTTCATGAATTTGGTAATTTTATTAATATAGAATTTTCAATTTTAGATTAACAAAATATTATTTAAAGGTTTTCAAAAGGGTTTCATGTACACAGTAATTATTAACTGTTAAGCTCATAAGGTTGTAGCTTCAAAACACTTTGTGAGCTTTTTCATCGAAGCTCGCATAACTTCACCGTTCGCGACTTGATAAGAATAGAATATGTTTTTGTTGATATACCGTAATTTAATTCATTTTATAAAGCATTTAACATACTCTTGAAAAAACGCTTGCCAATCAAAAATTTGTAGATTTAGTAGTGCTATTCTGTAAAAGCTTTAGTATTCAACTCGAGTTCAAGCAAAACGTTATCATGGAAGAATCTTTATTATTTTTTGAAGAAGTAGTAGGTTTTATTTGATCGAACCTACATATATGTTGTGACATAGCTCTGCTCGACGTCGTCGAGTTCGAGCAAAACGCTATCATAGAAGAATATTTATTATCTTTTGAAGTAGGTTTTATTTGATCGAACCTCTATGTTGTGACATAACTCTACTCGACGTCGATAATCATGTTTTATCATCATGCAACAATATTGTTATCAAGTAATTAGATAATAGTATAGTAAATGGTAAAAGTCAATTATATTCTTGATGTTAGTGACATAGTTTAGACGTCGTAGTTGGTAATGAAACAGTATACGAGAATACATCATCTTAAACTCTACACGAGTAATTACTTTGTTACATGTTCCCGTTACTCTGTGAGTTAGGCTATGTATATGTTAGTTGTTACTTTTGATTGATGTGTTTTAAGTCAGTTACAGACATTTATTGTTGAAACTTTAGTAAGGAAAGAACACGAAAATCAAAATCGGTTCATAGTTGACGAAGATATCGTGGTGGATAAATAAAAAAATGTTTTGTCATTGAAACAAAAAATTGATAATGTCCTCCTTTTTTAAGTCACAAATCTATACTATTATAATAAAATGGTAAAGTTTCTAAATTTGTTTGTTTGTTTGTAGGGGGTAATCTTGGGAAATACTGATCCGGTCAAGATTTTTTTTCAAATAAGGGAAACTTCATCATACGCGGGTGCTATAGCTAGGCTATAATTTACGCAGGCGAAGTCGCGGGTATACAGCTAGTATAACTAATAAATTAAAACTTTTTATACACACAATGAATAGGGCATCCACAATATTTTCAACAATGTGAAGGACAATCTTAAAATAGCTTAACTGTTTAAATTTTATTTGTGTAGATATTAATGTAGTATATGTGTATGTAGATGCTTATAATTATGCTTATATGTATAAGGGTATACTAGTTTATTTTCTCCTCTATTTCATGTGTAATATAGCAGTATACTATTAATATTATAAATGTGAAAGTTTCTTTGTTTCCACTTTTGTCGGTCAATCACGCCGAAACTAATAAACGGATTTTGATGAAATTTGGTATACAGATAGGGTATTAGCTGACTTAGATGATAGGATACTTTTTATCCCACTAAACATTTCCCTAGGGAACACGCAGGCGAAGCCGCTGGCGTAAGCTAGTAGTCCATATTTTGCTTGTCCTTTTGCAATTAAATAAACAAAATACAAATAGCTTAACAACCACCCCGTTATCAATCGGATTGTTCTGATTTATCACTGTACAATGGCATAATTAGAGTGATACCGGAACATGTTGTAATTGGTACCATAATATCCAGACAAAAGACTCACGTCACGGTATTTAAGATGCAATGACTTGGCGGTATCACGTTATGTAAGCTAAGTATACCGAACGTCTATATAGGCAACAATTTAACGCTTAGCAAGTTAAGAGCTCGTGCGTGAAATTTGCTTTAATATTAGAAGAATTATTTTTCTCTATTATTATCTTTCATGGTGGTAATTCAGTTTTCTAGAAGTGAGGACAGAATTATTGGATTTTTATGAAATTTTACTCTGCGTCTTATAGCTAACCTCTAAAACAGTTTTTAACCTTTTACCTTCGTATCCATAGTCGAGAGAAACTTGAGAATATCTCATAATAACTTATGCATTATTACTTTTGCCAATAAGAATTTGAATAAAATAAGAACTGTTAAAAGTACTAGAATACTTTAGTTATTAAAGCTTTTGCTTCATTCGTGTTCTCGTCTATTAGTTAAAATATTTGCTTAAGCTATGACATTTTCTAAAATAATCACTTGTCTCGACTATAGATATGAGTGTTAGCATCAAAAGTTTGTCTAAATAAAGAGTTGTTAAATGAACAATATAATCCCCATCCCACCTTTTCTACGGAAGATCGTTCCAAGGATCACCAGTGGTCCGCAGTCCACTGGTTAAAAAGCACTGCACTAACAGATTTTGTTAAACACAAAACAAACTTGCCTTAGTCACACAAATTATGACTCAAGAACGGCTAAACCGAATTCCACGCTTTTTTATTACCTGGAATAGTAGAATAACTTAAGAAAATTAAGGTAGAAAAATTGATATCTTTTTAGTTTGTGATGATATAACCGGCTGTCATTGTGCACGCAAAAAACTGTTGAGATGACATGACAGAAGAATTGCGACTTATTGGTCGTGGAACTTCTAAGCTAACAAACAATTAGGATGTGACATTACCTTATACAATTACACTATGGTCGTATTTCTGTGAGATGCTTGACGGATCTTTCGTCAGATTAGCCCAAATCTTAAAGACTGCTGCCGATATCTGATTCATCATTGGTTAATATACCCTATGTATATTAATTTAAGGTAACAGTGTTGTGATTTCATTATAATTTGTAACTGTTTGAATACTTTAATGTGAACTAAGCTTAATATTCCCTGTGTTATTCAGGATAGCATTCTAAGGCAGCTGTGAGAAGTCCAGGAAGGTATTCAAGCTATTTGTGAGCCGCCTGGCTGGGAATCCGGTGACTTCTCCGGTACCCACTGCGGTCACAGAATAAACTCGCTGCGGTATGCTGATCTAACCGAACAAACAGCGACGCACAAGAGTCCTCGCTCTAGACATATTCATATCATAATTTATCAATTTTTGCATTTACAATGCTACACTGTGCAGATACTCTTGAGATGGGACTCGAACTCACGGCCTTTCGCAATTGGAGCTGGTGAGTTTTTTAAGCATTTTTCATTAAGAATATGGTCATTAAGCAGAAAGTATTGTAGTTTGAGTTGATTGCTTTTCAGTACACTATGCATGGTAATTGGTGATCAGCCCTGCGATTCTGTAGAAATCCGAACCCAAATTCGAATTCATTCAAATGTCCAAATTCACTTGAAAAAGCGGCATCTGCTCAACCTTTAACTGATAATAACGTTTCAAAGCATAAGTGAAGTGAGTTTCGAAATGACATAGTGTTAGATCTGAGACACGTATATAATCAATCAATTATGTTTTGCATTTTTATAGAAAAAATGGAATCAAAAGAATTTATATACTAAATAACAAATGATATAAGCTAATACAAATTTGGGTTCGGATTTTTACGGAATCGCTCCACGGAATACTTAGCGATCACAATAATTTGGTAATGGGCGATCAGGAAACTTAGCTTGTATAGTAATTGGCGATTACAATAATTGGGTAATTTGTTTTGGTACCTATTCTAATCGCCAACACTGTTAACAGTTATCTATCAATTTATTCATATTATATATCTCGTGTCCTGACCCGGGATCTATGTATATTGTTTTAATTAATAATCTATGTACTTATTAATTCTCATCTCTGATAAAATGTATGTAACCATTTCCACATTTCAGACTTAAAAATGTCATACGTAATAATTTTACGTACAAAAATATTTGCAGGAAATACTTTATTAAAAGAGAAGGCAGAATTTATTTTAGGCA